AAACTATGAATCACTTTTTGAATTTGTGATTTAAGCTGGCCATCTTGTTTTCTTCTGTCCAGCCTGCAGATCGAAATTTTAAAGATATTTTGTTTAAATTTGGTGCACTTACGTGATTTGGGCCAAAGACGAGCCCTATTGCAAATGGTTCGGATCGGACCAATTTTTCGACCATATCTCATATAATGCTTTATTGTTTATTGAACGAAGTGGTGTAGGGTGTTTACAATACTTTTGCTGGGTTTCTTTCATTTTATCTAATACATCGACTCATTTGTCGGCCTCTATTGACGATAAGGTTCTCGTTTCGCTAGTGTTTACAAAATCAAAAACTGCATCAGAACAACGGCATACGGCAAGTTATAAAGAGGTGAGAACTTGCAACTACAAAGAACATTTGAAATTTTTTTTTGAGAGATACTTTGTTGCTAATAAAAGACCTTTTGAATACTTCAAAAAACAATATCTGCCGGAAAGGAAACATACAGGTCGTGTCTAATAAGAAGTCCGTGCTGTCGAAGAAATTCGAACCAAATTTGTTGATTAGGAATACGATCAGTACTAGCTTGCCAAGTGGTATAGCAGTTCAAATAAAAATTTTCTGGCCGTTGGCTAATTTCAAATGAGATTTTAGGAAGACTGATGATGCTGTGAAGTGCTTACAACAGGAAAAAAGAAATTTTTTTACAAATCATTTTTGTTATTCGGAAAGTGAAATTGCAAGATATAACCGATACTTTAGAAATATGAGAAGGCAGCGTATTCGCTATTTTGCATTTGAACTTGAGAAAGCCGCACTCTTTAAATTGGGACTGCAGTAGAACAAGAATAACATGTCGAACTTGCCAAAAGTCGGGTTGGTAAGGAGTCCTTCTCGACTCACATTTAAAAAAAAAAACATTCGAATCGTATGAAATTATTGTACCCTACTCCACTGTGGTACAATGGCATACTAAGTTCATGCCGGTGTATGCAATATCCAGAAGAACTTAAGATAGATCCACCTTCTCTTACATCAATCGATTTCTGAATTGACATAAGATTGTCTGTCCCTCTGTCCTTCTGTTTTCTTGTGTTCAATCTACAGTCCGCAATATTTAATGAAAATTGCTCCACGAACGTTTTTTGGCCCAAGGACGCACGTTATTGAAAATACTTGGGATCGGCTCATGGTTTCGCCTACTTATTATACAGCACCTCATTTTGAAAAGTTGTTGTGTGACTAACTATAGTATGGTATAGATTGTTTTATGGTAGGTTGTGCCTTTTTACTTGTCTTCATAAACGATCAGTACGTTTAGGATCATCTAACTTAAATCGCAGTTCTTTCTTCATTTACCGCATATATCTGAAGTGTTGCAAATATTTAATTTGTTTAAAATGTTTTGCTTACATGAAGCCGATGTTTAGTATAAATTGTCATTAATTTTCCAATTTAACGTTTAAGTTTTTCTTAAAATACATCAAGTTAATGAGAAATTCCACGCAAATATAAATTATAATAATCTCATCTCATCGTAAAACCTATTATAAATAACTAGTAATTTCATACCATCGACACTAAGCTATTAAGATGCCCTAAGATGCACATAGTTATGCACAAACGATAAATAGCTGACTCACTTACAAGATTGTTGCTGCTGCTGTTAATGCTGCTGTTCAGGAATCATTTGTTGTTATTATTGTATTTAACATTTGCTGAAAGTACTAGAGATCGACGCTGGCAGGTAGGTAGGCTGTGTCTGCGCACAGGCATTCGCTTTCTACAAACATCTATTTATATGGACTAATGTACTTTAACTATTCGCATTTTATGGAACACACACTTGTGTTCGGTCATTTAGATGGATCGCAAACAGCTGGTAAGAATTTTGAGCGAAGACTTAGACTAAACAGTGTAACTAATAAGGTAACTTAAAAGATGCCGCTAAATACCATGCAACTTACACGCAAGATTTACACCCTTTCGCCAACGCTGTCTATTAGTGCCAGACATATAATTTAAGATGCTGGCTGGTTTGGAAGGCCAGTTTTCAAAAACATTCCATTTTTTTCTTTCTTTCCTAACAAAAATGAATGAAACAAGTATGACGACAATGATCGTCAGCCTTTTATTTTACACCATTTATTCCTTTTCTATGAGTTTGATTGGAATTGCTGTGCGGGCGTATCTTTTTCATCGATTTTATCAGTTAGTCTCTGCCTCTATTGCTTTTGTTTATGTAATTTTCGAAGAATATGTTTTTTTTTGTTGAAACAAAACAAATTATATACGGAGGCAAACTATATATTATTTTTTTTGTTTTTACAGATTTACGTCTCCCATAAAATGTAGCAAGTAACACGATTTGTTGGTAAAGAGTATGAAGAATCAATATAAGAAGAATGAAAAATTCTAGTAAGCTTACTTATGTTATTTTTTTTTTCTTGGTGAAAATATGTGCTAAGCGGGAACTTATGGCGCTTCTCATCAAACAATATTATTCTTATCCGCCCAATCTTCCTCATATTTGTCACTTTTGTTTAGTATATATAATTGTTGTTACAGGAATTTTAAGCACCACAAGGGGATTTCTATTGTTTTTACTATTTAGGGAATGTTTGACAAATGATATACGAGTGAAATTACCTGCTCAGATATTTACAAAAGCAAGCCGAAGCATTTCTCTTTTTTATCAATTTTCCCTGCATCTATTAAGAAGTGTAAGAAAAATAAGACTTCGTTTAAAGTCTCTTGTGGAACCTAAGAGCAGTTTACTAATTTGTGGTGTATATAAAAATGTAAACATGATTGGTGAATAAGAAGTAATGGCTATGTAAGAATAGTATCATGAAAGGAGTTATTTCGGTAAAAAAAGTAACAAGCTTGTGTTCAAAAAGTTCTTCCTCAAGACAATGTCTTCTATTAAGCTAGATAAAGAACTTGTTTTAGAAATTGGCAAAATACTTAGAAAAGAAAGGTTCCTGGAAAAATACTGAGACCTTTCTTCAAGCTCTAAGAAGTAATTCTCAGGATAGCAAGCGTGATTTTTTACATGAAAATTTCCAAAAAATATTTGATCGATAAAAGTTTGCAATAAAAGCGTCATTAATTATAGCGATAGAATAAAAGAATTGGAGTGCAATTCTGGGTAGCACATCTGCTATCATAGCAAACATGAAAAAACCCAAATGCTCTGACTGCTTTTAAGTGGTGTCTTCCTTTTTACGAACGGTACCAGGTATTACTCAGTTGCGCAGAGGGACAAATGGACAGATGAATGGACGGATATGCTTAGAAGCATTTCGAATTGGAAACTGGTCAAGAATTTGTATACTTTATGGGGTTTTTGAAATTACTACGTACTATAAAACCACCAGACCATATAGATAACAATCTCCGTCAAAGGGTTATTCCACTGTGTTTTTGTATCCATCACCGAAGGATGGGATGCATATTCAAACTTCGAACGTCAAAACTTTTGCATCGCCCAGAAGGAATCTTTAGAGATCCCATAAAGCAAATATATTCTCGACCAGCATCAACTTATGAATTGATTTAACTATGTCTGTCTGTCAGTAAATCAAAATTTAAATTTTTTTTAAATACCTTGACTAAGCGAAAAAAGAAGCTTCGAAAACCCCATAAAATATACAAATTCTTGGCCAATTTCAAATTTGAAACGCACCTGAACATGTGGGTCTGCCCATCTATTCGTCTGTCCAACTGTGTGGTATCTATGGTAAAGATTCTACCGTCAGCGAAAATGAAGATATCGCCTATAAATTTGCAAAGGAATTTAAAAGTGACCCCAACTTTTCAAAGGACACGCCTACAACGCCCACATCCTTATATTGTCCTTATTTTGAAAATAAGAAAAATCAGTCGCGCTCACTCCATATTATAGACCATAGACCATAAAAATGTAGTCCTTTCACTTGTTTACTCTTTTTTAGGATAATGGTGACGGGTATACTAGATTCGTTATATATAATTTTCTTACTCGTTCCTTTTAGTTAAAACATATAATTATAAAATAATGAAAATTTTACATTACTTTGCAGAGAAAATAGGCAATTTTCACTGTTAGAATCGTGGTTCATTCGATTGGCGTAGACCATAATACACCACGCTACGCCAATCAGTCCAAACGGTACGTCCATGAATATCGTCGATGTTAATGATAGGCCTACTCTGCATTATAGCTTCTTGGGTTATAGATATCGTGACGCATCCACAATTCCCCGCTCATAAGGATTTTGTTGTGGAATCCTTCGAATTAAACAGGGAAACGAAAGTTTTCCGCGAATGGCGTTCTTTTCGGCCAGAAGTGCACTCAATTCAAGCTCCAAAGAATCGCGATGTGTACGCCTTAGTATGATAATTTTTTTCAGGCGCGCGCATAATTTAAAGACAACACATTCAAATGAAGAAGAAGAATGGTTTTATTCAGCGCCCTGCAGTAATAGTTACACGCCCGCTTAGAAAACGGACCGACTTAATTCACACTCCCAGTAGCGCAGTAATAGTTGGTTGTGTTACTGCATACTTTCGACTTTTGCGATTCTTGTGTTTCTTGTTACCATTCCGTACTCCCTGTTGAGGCAGCATATGATCCACATTAGAGACAGTATTGAGTGGTAAATTGTTTTCGGTTCGGCAGAAAACTCAACACACTTTAACTCAAGTCGCAAACGAAGCAACAGTGTGTGCAAGTTAGTTTAACGAAGAGACACATGGTGAGCGGTTGTGGAAACGGAAAAATAAAGAAGTGCAAGTGCGTCTGAGTAAATTATTCAAGTGTGCCATTGAGAGTGAAAACGGAAGTGCAATATCAAAAAAAAAAAAAAAAAAAGTTGAAACGAAAATTGCTTTTAATTAAAAAAAAAAAAAAAAATAAAGAAAAGAAAATCGAATAAAAAAATCTTTTTGTTTGCTAAAGTTAATAAAAAAATATGTGTGCATGAATATATATGTGCATATATATATAAAAATGAGTTAAAAAAAAAAAATTAAATAAAAAATAAATAAATAAAAACAAAGAATAGAGTGCGGCGTCACCATTGAGGATATACGAAAATAAACTATTTGTTGTTTGTGCCAAATTTGTGTGAAAGAAAAAATTATCAACGACAACGTCTGTGCCTATATACGAATGCGTATTGGCGTGTATATGTGTGTCTCTTTAAAAACGAGCGCGGCCCTTTCTTTTTTTTTCTTTTTTTTTTTAAAGTATATCGGTCCGTGTATATGGTTGCATTATAAAAATTTTTAATTACTTTTCATGCAGAATATCGTGAAGGAAAGCAGTGAACAGAGGTGTTTGCTATTTAGAAAAGAATTTATGCAACGGCACGTGTTCCTTAAATGTTGTTTTTCCATTGCTGTACGCAGCGCGAGTTTAGTATAATGGTATATATGTCATGTTTACTGCAACGATCTGGAGTGGCAGAAACATTTTAAGTGCATAGAGCAAGTGCACGGTCTGCCGTCAGTAGCGAAATATATATATATTTTTTTTTGCTACCGGAAATCATTAACGAAACAAAAATTAGAAATAATTTCTAAGAATTTAATATCATATTAAAGATGTATGTGTGTGCAACTGATATTAGCGAAAAGTTTTGTTTTTAAGAAGTCTGTAGAAAAGTTTCGCATAGTTTTTGAACATGTGAAGTGAAATTAGTTTTGATATTAAGAGTTTTAAGAAGAAGAAGAAGAAGATGAAAATGCCATACTCTCTGAGATCGTTACCAAGTAGAGGCTGTATGGCCTTTAGAAGAACATCATGTAAAGTGCGTGCAAGCGATATTACTGCGCTGGAATTTGTAATTTGTGTGTTAATTGCGGTCACACCTTTATATGCCAAAGATTTAATAAATCATCGGTTTAGAAATCATGCACCAAATCATTACCAACAGCAGCGCTGGTTGCATGATTATACATCAAAAGTGTTTCACTCGAATGCCACATACGATACTGTTACAGACATCGATTTTGAGTCCAGTATTGTTTCATGGACAGGCGCCAAAATTTCTTCAACGCAATCATTACAGAGACTTGAACAACTGGCACAGCCACAAGACTTGCTATCATCGCAACGTCAACATAAGCAGCAACAGCAACAGCAGCAGCAGCAGCAGCAACAACAAAAAACCAAAGCTAAGAATCAACAACATGGAACAAGACACAAAACTAAAAGTGGTTTATTGATCGAAAGCAATATCGATACCGATTTTTCCTCATCTACACCGCGTCATTATGAACGTAGTTATAAAGTAGAAGGCGATGAGATTTATAATGTAGAACGAGAAGAAGAAAAATCATCGCCGTCACAATTGTCTGCGGCGTCATCGTCAACTCCGGTAACAACGAATGCATCGGTACGTAAACGTAATAGAGTGCAAAATCAGCGCAAACGTAATGGTCGCTATGGCAGCGGCAGTGGACAACGTCAAAAACTACAACGCAACGGTAAGTTTCCGTTTTTAGTAGAAATCAAGAAAAGCAATACTTTTTTTTTTCTTTTTTTCTCCTCTACTTCAGTTCTGTGTTGTATGCTATTGTATTGTAGCGTACGGCTTTGCTGTAGTAGCAAATTAGCGGTGGTTTGATGTCTTTTTTTATTTTTTTGTCTTTTTATTGTTTCGTTTATATCAACTTTTATTGAATTTTCGACATATATGGTTTTAGAAAATGTTTTCCTGCTTAAGGTTTTCTTGTTTTCCTGTGTTATCTAACGCGATTTCCAAGTCTATATGCGGACATCAGCAAGATCGCATTGCAAATTGTTCACGTTATTGCAATAAGATCCCGATTCGCGCAACATATGCCTCATACACATATCACATCATAATGTAGTCTTTGCTTATATTCCTTTTTTATTTGAATTACTTGATCATTTTCGGTGGACTCTTGTATTGGTGATCCCATGGTTAATAATTCCATTTTCAATTCTATATTTAGCAAAAAAAAAATAAATAAAAGTTGAAAGAACTCTGATTAAAGTGTCTTCCTTGAGACGATATCAAATCTTTCACACAATCCTCCAGAGTGTTTGCAAAAATAATTTATAATTTTTATCTTTTAATGAGTGAGAATCCAGAATTTAGAGTAAAACAATGCCGAACATCTGGTTACTATATAATAAAGACTTTATTCACAACACATTTTTTCCCGTTTTCGTTAGTTTTCTTTTCTTTTTTTTTTCTTAAGTATTGTTGTTGCTTTTTTGTAGCCTTTTACCAAGATCTTATCCTTTTGTTAGTTTGATATTGCCTTTTTCCTTTTCTCGAGATCACTTCAGGCCTAAAAACATATGTTCGTGTTAGCGCGTGTTGGTTATGTGTATCGTTTTTGTACCTTTTTTTTTTTTTTATTATTAATGCGCTTTTATGTTGAACGCAAAAAGAGGAAAAACAACAGCGAAGAGTTTTAAAAAGAATACCGCCCATTGTTCCAAGGAGAGAGAACAAATAATCACATGTCTTGTTACAAAAGTGTGGCTAAATGCTAACAATAGCATATTATTTTTACATTTACTTATATCTCGTGTGCAAAGGAAGGGATAATTAGTTTGAGACACGTTTGTAACTTTTTCTTCATCACAAATAATATAAACAAGTAAAAATAATACTAGTGAGGAGTACTGGACTGGATAGTTGGATGGAAGTGAGACATTGCTGAAAGACATACACAAAATTTTGAAATATACATATGAGTGCCGAAGTCGGTAAAGGCACAAATGAAAATCATTCTTAATGCTGTGAATGTTTTCAATAATTTTTGAATCTTCTTCTTTACGAAACGTTAATCACACTTGAAATGAAAAATTAAGCATTATTTTAGGATTTCAGTTCATCAGAAAACCGTAGGTAAATAAAAAAATGTCGAACGTAGTTTTAAGTAGGTGTATATGTTGTGGGTACAAATAAATTTTTAAGGGTTTGCCCATCGTTAGCCGCTACTTTTCCTATCCCTCCGACTTGTACCGCTTTTTAAAGGTATTCTCAAAAAAACCTATTTTTAGGTATCCTCGTCAGAATCAAAGTACTCTTCGAGCAATTAATAAATCACCAATTGAAACACGCGCTAATCGGAAGGATTTATATCTGCTCATGCTAGCGGAGTCGGTAAGGCTTTCCCGTTTAAAACTGTAGCTAATTTCTAAGCGAATTTCGCCATATGGGAACGAATCTTTTTGTATGGAAATTTCGCAATATCGTGACTTTTGGGATAACACGCCCATTTTTGGCCGCAATTGCACGAATTATTCTTGTTAGCACTCCTAAGTGAAGGTTACAGTACGTTGCACCAAGCTACAGTACACTACTATCCTCCTACTCTGAATCGCGATTATTCGGGATTTGGATATCGGAACGCAGCCACTGTTCATTACAAGTAAGGATTTTGTACGACTAGCAAATTAAGCAGGAAAAGTAAAGTCCCGCAAGTGGATTCTTTTTTTTTTGGAACAGAACTACACCTATTTAAAAATCCAAGAGACTTTATTGCGTACGCTTTGACATGATCATTTATATACTTGCGTTTAGCTTAAAAACAAAGAAGTGAAATGAAGTAGTCATGGTTTTATTCAGCACCCTACAGTAATGCTTACACTCTTTCTTAGAAAACTGAACGAACTCATTTGGTCTGAAAGGATCGCCTTTTTTTTTTTTTGATAAGATAAGATTTAATGTTTTGGGTGTTAATTTCTAGTACACTAGCAGATGTGCATCGTTTTTATTTGAAAAAATTTCTAAAAGAAATAAAAAAATGTTAAGTGTTGCTTTATTTAGTTGGCAGTTGGAATAGATATGGATATGGAAGTAATTCGAAAGAAATCAATATTCAACCAAGATGTTAGTGTGTGATGTGTGTGTTTGTGGTGAATTTGTATGATATTAATTATGAACGTTGGTGTGTGAAATTGATGTAAGTGATGAATTATAAACTTTATTATTTTGCTCTGTCAATCATTTTGCACCACGTAAAGTGTACAAAGCGTGCGATTTTCTCGCTGACAGATGCAGCAAACGGTGTAGGCTCTAAAATCTGCCGATAATTGAAAGTAAAAAAATTATTGAATTAGGAATTAAAGTTTATGACCTTGAGGTTGCAGTTTATGACAATAAGAAAGCATCTTTTTACTTAAAACATGATTTTTCAAAACTCTCTGCTTAGTACATGACTTATTATTTTCATTCGAATTTTTTGCAATATCTTTATTATAAGTATCTGATGAAAAGTACGTAGGATATATGCGATAAGCCAAACATAATTTATTAATAAATATCTAAATATGTCGTCTTTTCTATGGTCGAAAATTTAAGAAAGTTATCTTTGCCATTCCAATAATCGCCAATCGTAGAATAATCAAAATATTTATAAATCTCCATGTAGTTTAGTCCCGATAAGCATGTAATCTAAATGGCTTCTTTTTTAGATTCAACTGTACCATCAGCTTCTTTATCATAATCAAAATTTCTTACATTAAAGATACCTCGTGAGGCTTTTATGCTGCAATTTGTTTTCAAAAGTAATTTTTGTTAATTTTTAAATGTACGTTTTATAAGCGTCGCCAATATTATTATTCTGTTATCGCTGCTTACATTACCAAAGTAATTGTCAAAATTAACAGTCTTAGACTGTTAAAAGGCGTCCTTCCTTAACAAAGGCAGTGCTTTTCTTTATCACAGGTATAAATTCATTTTGCGTAATATAGTGCACAAGATAGTGTCGTTCTTTAAACTGGCAACGTTCCTGGCAAGTAATTTGATCGATTTTAGCAAGATAACCAGTTCAAGGATGGCATCTACGCAAGAAGAGCTCGCAGTGTTATATGGAACAAGACACTACAGTATTGTTACGAAAAGCCCACGTTTGGCAAAACATGAAAACTGCTCGATATTCCAGGAATCGAAATGGAATAGAATGGAAAATCCAAATATCGGTTCACGATGTTTTGGCTGCTAACTACATAAAGTAAGGGGCCACTGACTATCAAAAGGATTAACGTGTTGCTGTTAGAAAGGCATTAACACGAAGACGTCATAATGCAATTCGGAATTGCTAGATTGAAAGTAAAAAAAATATAAAATGTGATGTTTAAGCAGAATATTTGCCGAAAGGGAACCAAGTCGGGTGATGTGAACTGAATCGTCCGTCATACCCAATAGGAGTGTTGCACGTATAAGTTGCTGTCAACAATTTGTAAATAGATGATCTAAGAATTTTGAACCAAACCAATGTTATCTTAAAAATCATAGTTCAGTGGTACGAGCTTAATCTCAAAACGTGATTTCAATAAGGCAAGGGAAAGAGCACTTTCTGTTACGGTATAATCTATTTAGAAAATTGCGTGAAATTAATTTACGGGTTAATAGGATATATGTGGCAGTTTATATTAATGCAACATAGTGTAATGTACATGTACGTTATATGCATATTTATAGGCGGAACTTTGTTTTAGATCGATTAAAATAAAAAAGAAAAAGAACAGGAGAGAAATGCATAAATATGGGGAAATGGTACGTTGTATATAATAGTTAAACATTATATGTAAATTTGGTCCAATAGATCTAAACTACCTTACAGCGCCATCGATCGAAACCTAGTAACAACAAAGAGAAACACATATTATGCATAAGTTTCACTTCATTCCAATGAATGGTTTCGTTGTTTCGTAATGACATGCAAAAGCTTTTTTATATGGAGAGGTATATAAAGTACGTTATACGTGTATTAACGCATAGTGTAGTATATATAACAGAGTCTAATAAGACGGAAGGCTTAGAGGAATCATATGCAGGTTTCTAGAGACCATTACGAGCTTTCCAATGCGTTGAAAAGACAGTGCGCCTTCTCTTTGTTTTTTATCTACGCTATTGCAGGACGTGCTCAAGACCCGTAGGAAAGCTTGTATAAAGCGAAGTACTATTCAGTACTAATTTTTTTTGACTCGAATTATGATTCTTTTTTCTTAGCCTTAGTAATACAGATTTTTCTGGTAAAGTCTCTCTCTCAATGTCAAAGAAAAGAAAACACTTAAATGATCCAAGAAGAAGTGAAATTTTAAAAATGCGTATAACATTTTTCGTTTATTGACTTTTAATTAATTTTTTCAACAATATTTTACCATAAATCAAACTCTTTTAGTAAATTGTGCATTGTTTACTTTTCAAACTTGAAAGCGTACACAGCCTATAGCGATTTATTATAATTTATCTGCCTTCAGCTAAAAGTGTTTCACCACTTAAATTTCTCTTATATTTAATAAAATAATATTTACATACATTTTTAATCACGCAATTAAAATTATTTATTTAATCTAATACTGATAATTAAGTGACTATCGGCTCTAGTCGATTGTAAAGTTTTCCATTTTCTGATTTTAATAAAAAATCACGAGCAAAAACAAAAGCTCTTAAGTATCCAGACTTATGAATCATATGACAATAAGTATAGTAGAAAGT